ATTGTCGCATCTGATGACGAAAAGTTTGCACCTACCCCACCCTTGCGGCAGATGCTTGCCGGCTCAGGGCCATCTCGCCGCCCACACTCCCTCTACCTGCCGACAACGACGTCAGCGACAGAGGGCAATGGTGGTGACGGCGGTGGTGGTGGTGGTGGTGATGTACGCATGCGGGCTGGTGGCGGCGCTGTTACCCGGAGCATGGCGCTTGCGCGCGCAAACCAGCGGCTGCGTGAGCAGGTTGCACATTTGCAGCGCCAGCTCTCCTGCGCAGACCCCAAGTCCCCTTCCACCCCCGTCTAACGTGCTGTTTACCTTGTGTGCTGCACAAGAGAGGAATGGCAGCAACCTGTGTGTCAAAGAAGTACTGAATGATGTAGACCCAGTGCCCGGCACCAGCGTGCTTGCTTGTCTGTTTGCTTTCCCGTCTTCTAGCCAGCTCTGTGGCCGCTTCCTTTTGCACTCCCTTTGCCTGTATTGCTCTCATTCGTGCTGTGTGTGTGTGTGTGTGTGTGTGTGTGTGTGTGTGTGTGTGTGTGTGTGTGTGTGTGATTTGTGTGTGATTTGTGTGTGATTTGTGTTATCTGACACCTTTCTTACAGTGGTACCACTGCCTGGCGTCTGTTGGTCGTTCAATATTCCAGCCTTGCTCCCCTTCTGTCTGCTGACCTCCTTCCTTTCACTTCAATGACTCCCCTCGTCGTTGATGAATGACCATTCTTGTCGTGTGCTTCACACAACAAACAACAACAACAACAGCGCAGATGGGTGTGCAAGGGCTGACTGGGTTTGTGCAGGGCAAGAAGAATGGCTTGGGCGAGCGGGTGACGTTCAGGGCAGAGAGCAAAGACAGCGAGAAACACCCGCTGGTCGTGGACGGGCATGCGCTCGTCTATCACCTGGCGCGCAGAGCGCATGTCGCAGACATGCCCATCGCCAACACAGACCGCTTCGAGATGGTCGTGCTCGAGGAGGTGGGGGCCATGGCAGCCTGCTTTTCACACGTCGTCGTTGTCATGGACGGGCCATCCCCAGCCTGGAAGAAGACCACGACGCAGGACCGACTCGTGCAGCAGGTGCGCCTGGCCAAGTACCTCTACGACAAGCTCGCGCAGCCGGGCTGGAAGAGCACCCAATCCGGTGCTCGCCCCTACACCACCTTGCTGCCTCGAAGCTTGTTTGCGTACATGACCCATCTTCTCCTCGCCAACTTCCACCGCCGCATCAGCCTTATCCACTGCATCGACGAAGGCGACGCCATGATCGCCGTGCTCGCCAATGCCCTCGATGGGTATGCGCTCACCCTCGACTCGGACTTTTACATCTACAACTCCAGGTACCTCCCGCTTTCCTCGTTCTGCGCCACGGACGATGGCACCTCCATCTCCGCCGTCGTCTTCGATCAGCGTGCGCTGATGCTACAGCTGGGACTGCAGTCACAGGCGCAGCTCTGCGTATGGGCAACCCTCGTTGGCAACGACTACACACGGCACTTCATCACCGCCGATCACACGGGTGGCAGCTTTGGCGCAGCAGCCGAACTTGTCAACACCGCAACACGCGCCTACCACCGCAGCTACATCTGCCGTGCGACAGCCACCAGCCCCAGCAGTAACAACTCTCCCACCGACCCCACGGTTCATGCAGACAACGACCTTGCCTGTTGCATTGCAGACCACGTGCTGTCTCGACTTCGATCGCCGCTCTCCAAGGCAAACGCAAAGGCGTTCCGGTTCAGCGTTGCCCAGTACGCACAACAGCAAACCGCTGTAGCCGCCGCCCGGCAGCGATGGCTGAGCGCGCAGAAGAAGCGGAGAGAGGGAGAGGGCCCAGAGGGGAGCAAGGGTGCAGGGAAGCAAGGGGATGGTGGCAATGGCGCTGACAAGCGTACTGTGCAACGTCATCCTCAAGGCCAGCAAAGCCAGCAGGGGAAGAAGAACAAGAAGGGCAAGAAGCACAAGAAGCACAAGAACAAGAAAGGACCTCAGAAGCGAGGAAAGGGCAATGAAGGAAGCCCGCGCCTCATATCGGGTGCTCTGTCGTCAGCGAAGGACACAAGCCCGGGCATGTGGCTGGACGTGCCACTGCCAACAGGTTTGCTCCTTGCCCGCAACCCGACCTGGCGCCACAACATCATGCAGACCAGCCGTGCTGATGGCGAGATGGCTGCGGGTGCGGTGGTTGGTGATGGTGGTGATGATGATGATGTCAGGTGTGATGCACGCTCAAAGACGCGTGCTGGTGGCGGCGATGGCTCGACTGCCGCTGCGAGGACGGACAGCGAGCATGTCAACACCAAAGGTCATGCAGCAACAACAGCTATGCCGGCAACAACAACAACAACAACAACAACAGCTGCTGCAACAGCTACAGCGGCAACAAACCTCATATCTGTGCACCAGCGCCATGCATCGTGGCTCTCATTTGCTGCTGGACAAGGGCAGCAACTGCAGGATGCCGTGTGGCTAGTGCTGGCACGCTTCCTCTATAACCACTACTTGCTCACAGGCAACCTACTTGCCTTGGTGCTGCTGCCGTGCTCCGTGTCCACGGCACGGCTCAAGCCAGTGCATGGCAACTTACAGACAGCACAACACATCACGCCAGGAGCAGTCGACGATGAAGGTGGTGGTGAAGGAGGTGACGATGGTGACAGAGTTGATGGTGGTGACGATGGCATACGCCACGGTGATGATGGTGCAGCATGTGGGAATGGGGATGGTGAATGTCATCACTCGCACAAGCAAGACAGCACTCCAGCGGGCTGCAGCCACACAGACAGCGACCGTTCAACAGCGCCACTTTCACGCCGCTATGAGCTGCTTGTGCAGCTGGAGGGGCGGGCGGAGCCTGCCGTTGACAGCACCGTGGGAATCGACGCAAACACCCTCGCCTGCTCCCTGCTTCAACACGCGGCCGCACAAGCCCTGACCTCTGCTCTTTCGTTATTATCGGCAGCAGGAGAAGCATCAACAACAACAGCAACAACAACAACAGCAGCAGCGAAAGTGTCGCCGTCGTCATCGTCTTCCGCAGTCATGTTAACATCATCGCCACCTTCAATGAAGACAGAGCAGCCAGCGCACACTCCCACAGCTCCCAAACCACGCACCCGTCCTTCCCCTCTCGAGGGCGTGACCAAGGTGTCGGTGACCACCACCTTCTATGGATGTGACGCCTCCCAGTGCCACCGCCGTGTTGGTAGCGCGGGCAGCAGCAGTGCCTCGTACCACGTACCCCACCATGCACAGTACCGTCGTCGCACAACACAGCCCACGCCAATACACACAACGCCGCACTTACAAGCACCAGCATCGGACGCATCATTGGCGGGGAGTTATGGACAAGACGTGGCGTTTCTCGTGCGCTTACGGGATGCTGGGCTGCTGCTGCCAGCGCTGGCAGATATGCTGAGCCGGCAGTACTGCGACTTCCACACACATGGACCCTGTCTACGGCAACAGCAGTCACAGCAACACAAACAACAGCCGCACCAGCACCAACGGCAGCGGCGTGAGCTGTCGGGCAGAGCAGCACTATGGCACGCATGTTGGACTGCAGGGGTGCTTGTTGCCGTGTTTGCGTCGCTTCACAACGCGGCGGCAGCACGGCACACGCGAACGCTATCACGTCTACTGCAGGCATTGCTGCTTTCGCAACAACAACAACAACAACAACAACAACAACAACAACAACAACAACAACAACAACAACAACAACAACAACAACAACAACAACAACAACAACTTGACAGCTCTGTTTATGATGCGGCTGTGGCGAGGGGCCGCATGCTGTTCCAACAGAGGAGCTCTGATGGCCTGGGCCAACAGCAGACAACAAGCAGCCCAGCGAGGAGTGGTGCTGGTGTTGGTGTCGGTGGTGAGTGCAGTGACGAGGAACACGCCACGACGCTGTTGCTTGATGACCTGAGCAAGTGGCAGACGACCGTGCAGGCGTTTGCGGTCCTTGTCGCCGGTGTGCGCAAACTGCACATGTGCACAGAGAACTCGAGTGCACCATCAGCGCACGATCGTGATGAGTGTGGGCGTGTCTGTGATGATGATGATGACAACGACAACGATGACGATGAAAGCGATGATGATGACGATGCTGGTGTGTTGCAGCTGGCGTGGCTCTCCAGTCGTCTCTTTGACGCACACGCGTTTCGTGCATTTGCATGTGGTGACGTCAGCAAACCCGACACACGCACTGCAACTGATGCACGTGGCTCGGCATGCACACAAACGGAGTATGCTGCGGTGTGGGGCGGCACATGCGGAGCTGTTCTAGCACACGTGGCAACAGCTGCCCGAGAGATGCTGCGACGGCAGCAGACGCAGACACAGGCACCACACAATCACAGACAGCAGGGGGGATGGTCACAGCAGCAGCAGCAGCGACCGAAGCACGGAAAGGGAAAGCAACGCGCAGCAGGGAGAGGTGGCAAGCACAGTGGTAACAAAACAAAGCAGTCGAAGAACAGCAGTGTCAGCAGTGCCCAGAACAGGTTTGCCGGGTTGGAGATTTGAGAGCCGGCGTATGTGTGTGCATAATGTGTGTGTGCGTGTGTGCGTGTGTGTATGTGTATGCGTGTGTGTGTGTGTGTGTGTGTGTGTGAGTGTGTGCGTGTGTGTGTGTGTGTGTGTGTGTGTGTGTGTGCTCAGGCGAGGCAACACGACTGCATGTATGATTGTCAATAATGCAGCAGCTTCGTGCAAGCATTCTGTTGACGCCCCTGTTCCACATGAAATGACATGACATGATTGAGCATACGCGCTATTGCTTCATTCTTCTTCTCTTCATGCTTTAGACGAAACCGAACAAGCGACAACAGAAACACTTATCACAACGACAACAGGCAATGGCATTCGCAGCACAGAGCACTGACGAGGTGCATACAGAAAAACAAACACATGTGTGAAGTGACGAACAAACACGTGTGATGTGATGTCACGACGACAGTAGCTGCATAAACACCAAGATGCTCATCACAGCACCACAACATCAACAGCAGATGAGCACGCAGAACGCGACATCATAGCACAGAGCAAGGACAGAGGATGCTGAAGGGACAAGCTTGGCTGCAGGATGCAAGGGTTGTTTGGGAGCAGGAAGGGGGATGATCCAAAGGTGTTTGTTGGTTGGTTGGTTGGCTGGACGGTTGGTTGGTTGGATGACGTGTGTTGGTGCGTATGCTCAGGTGCGGAGCCAGACGAGGTTGCTGCGGAGGCGGTTGTAGTCTGGGAGCTGCTCGACGGGTCCAATGGCGGCGACGGCCGGGCAGCGGTCGTACACGTACTTGTCCATCGCAGACCGCACAGTCGACGAGCTCACAGACTGTAAAACCAAAAAAGAAGAGGGGGTAGAGGGAAGGGGAAGAGGAGCGGAAATGATTTGGGTCAACAGAAAAGCGAAGACAATCAGGCACATATGTGTGTGTGCGTGCGTGTGTGTGTGTGTGTGTGCGTGTGTGACCACCGTCGCCACCATCATCATCAGCAACAGCAACAACAACAACTTAAACAACAACTGAAACAAACAACAACTTAAACAACAACATGCAGCAGCGTGTACTGAGGGCTGCTCACGTCGAGGAGGGCGTTGATCTCGGCAGCAGGGACGCGGCGACCCAGGGTCAGAATCTGCCGTCCAATCTCATCGTTGGCCGCCTGTGCACCTGTTGCGATGGCAATTGGAGAGGGTGGGGAGAAAGCGTCGAAAGAGGTGATGTTATTCACGTGGGAGAACACGTTCTGCGGTGGTCAAATAGTGTCACAATGCAGTGGTCACCGTGACCACACAAGTGACAATACGCTCGATGACAGCAGCAAGGAACAAAAACAACACATCGGCACTCTGTCTGTGTGTGTGTGTGTGTGTGTTACGTACTGTCGACGGAGAAGATGAGCTGGGACTTGAGCTGGCGCTTCACGCGCTCAACCTCGGCATCCGTCGCGCCCTGAACACCGCGGCACGGACGAGCGGTATGTGGAGAACAGGATATCCATTGCGGACATAAGTTATGAAAGAGAAGACAACACAGAAAGGAACACAGACGAGAACATTGCGGGTCACACGCGACTCGTTGCTTCCAAGCAAGCCTGCGCCACATCAACCCATCAACCCCCTGGTCACGCCTTCCAGCCAGCAGCACATAACATACGTTGGCCAGGCGCAGCCACTCCTGGGTGAGGGCGTAGGCAAAGTCCTCAATCTTGTCGTAGTCCGTGACGGCGTAGCAGCCCCACAGGCCCGTGTCCGTGTACGACGTCTGGAACGACATGTAGTTGTGGGCCAGCGAGTGCTCCGCAGCGAGGCGGGCAAGCGGGGACGACAGGTTGGCTGAGCCGCCAAAGTTGCGGTCCCAGCTGCCAACAAGCTGTGCACACACGCACGCACACACACACACACACATGGGTAGTGTTGGTAGTGTTGGTAGTGTTGGTAGTGTTGGTGGTGTTGGTGGTGTTGGTGGTGTTTTGCATCGTCACGATGGATGAGGAGAGTGAGGGTGAGTGCGCATGTGTGATGGGAAGGAGGACAGGATGTGTGAGGTGGCAAAACTCATCCGCTTGCAAAGACACGTGGAAGCAAGCAAGGAGGCTGTAGTAAGCACGACAGCAGCAGTGACAGCAGCAGTAACACGCAGAAGAATCTCCATGACATCTGCCCAACGTACGGATGAGCCGACGAGCATGGAGTAAAAGTCGGGATCGCTCCAGCTGACGCCCTCAACGGCAATCGCAAACTTGGCCGTCTGCTCGCTGTCATCGCGGAAGCGCAGCTGCACACACACACACACACACACACACATCGGTTAGGGACGTGGTGGGCAATGTAGGTGATGCACGATGACCTGGGATGAATTGTTGCATCAGCCACACATTCACACAGGTACACACACACACACACACACACACACACACAAACACTCACTCACTCACATTCACACACATACTCACACAAACACACACGCACATACTCACACAAACACGTGCACACACGAATGCAACGCACCTCGGAGCCGTGGAAGTCGGATGTGGTGACGGCGGGGGCCTTGTCGTCGGCGGAGAGGCCGCCAAACGCCTTCTCAGCGGCAGCAACGAGCTGGTCGTGGTCGACGCCGCCCGTGCCAACCAGCACCATGCGCGGGCCCGTGTAGTACGTCTCCACGTACTTGATCAGGTCCTCGCGCGAGATGGACCTGCAGTGGCGGGATGCGTGCGTGGCGTGAGCATCATGTTTTGGAAAGGAGGGGTGGTGAGTGTAGAGGGGTGGTTGTGGCGAGACAGCACAATGTTTTGCTTCATTGTGTGTGTGTGTGTGTGTGTGTGTGTGTGTGTGTGTGTGTGTGTGTGTGTGTGTTTCATGTTGCATGACGGTACATGACCGTGTGTTGACTTGACTGACTTGATGTTCTCCTCGGGGCCGAGGATGGTGTAGCCGAGTGGGGAGTTCTGCACAGCACAGCAGCACAGACAAGCAATTCGTCGTGTGAGC